GGACAATACGGCTGAAAACTTTCTATTTTTGTTTATGGATGGGTTTTCAGGTTACAATCAAATAAAGATGCATCCAGATGATATGGAAAAAACTACATTTGTCACCATATGGGGCACGTTCTGTTATAAGGTGATGTCGTTTGGGTTAAAGAATGCAGGAGCAACTTATCAAAGGGCCGTGGTAACACTATTCCATGACATGATGCATAAGGAAATAGAAGTCTATGTCGATGATATGATTGTTAAAGCTAAAACGGAGGAAGAACACATCAAGAATCTGAGGAAAATCTTCCAAAGATTAAGGAAATGCCAGTTAAAACTTAATCCAAGCAAGTGTACCTTCGGGGTAATATCGGGAAAACTCTTAGGGTTTGTAGTAAGCAAAAAAGAGATTGAAGTAGATCCTAGAAAGGTCAAAGCTATTCAAGATTTACCACATCCACAAACAAAAAAAGAAGTTCGAGGATTCATGGGAAGATTAAACTAAATTGCTTAATTTATTTCTCAATTAACTGAGAAGTGCGATCCCATTTTTCGCCTTCTCCGTAAAAATAACCCAGGGGTATGGAACGATGATTTCCAAGGAGCTTTTGAAGCAATAAAAGAATATTTGTTGAATGCTCCAGTCATAATGCCACCAATATAAGGCAAACCATTAATCATCTACTTGTCAATCTTTGAGAATTCAATGGGGTGCGTATTAGGGCAGCATGACCAAACTGAGAAAAGAGAAAGAGCAATCTACTACCTCAGTAAAAAGTTCACTGATTGCGAGATGAGGTACTCACCAATAGAAAAGTTGTGTTGTGCTTTAGTTTGGACTACCCGAAGGCTCAGGCAGTATATGATGTATCACACTACTTGGCTGATATCTAAACTTGATCCTCTGAAATATCTAATAGGTGTACCTGTTTTATCTGGAAGATTGGCTCGTTGGCAAATCTTATTTTTTGAATTTGACATCCAATATGTAAGCCAAAAAGCAGTTAAAGGAAGTGTTGTAGCCGATTTCTTTGCAAGTAGGGCTTCTGAAGAGTATGAACCACTGAACTTCAATTTTCTGGACGAAGATTTAATGGTTATTTCAATTGAAGAGGAAGTTTCCTCTACTAATGAACAGTGGAAGATGAATTTTGATGGTGCCTCGAACGCCTTGGGGCACGGAATTGGGGCAATTCTAGTCTCACCTGGTGAAAAACACTATCCTTTTACCAGCTGATTGAACTTTGATTGCACAAATAACATGGCCGAGTATGAAGCATGCATCCTGGGTCTTAGAGTTGCCATTGAGCGTAAAGTGAAAAAACTCAAAGTATACGAGGATTCAGCCCTGGTAATTTATCAACTCAGAGGTGAATGGGAAACAAAGGATGCGAAGTTGGTGGAATACCGTAAGTTGGTCATAGAGCTCATTAAAGAATTTGAGAAAGTGACATTCCATTATCTCCCCAGAGAAGATAATCAAATGGCAGATGCCCTAGCCACTTTGGCAGCAGCCTTCAAAGTCAATGAACATTCAAGCATGATGCCTATTACGATGTAAGCTTATGGGTATCCAGCCCATTGCTGTAGCATAGAAGAGGAAGATGATGGAAATCCTTGGTATTACGACATCTTACAATACATTAGATATCAAAGTTACCCCGAGCAGGCCACTGAAAATGACAAAAGAACTATTCGAAGAATGGTCGTAGGATATGTTCTTGATGGTGAGATCTTGTATAAGAAAAGTCATGATCAGGTCTTGCTGCGATGTGTGGGTGCCAAAGAAGCTAAAATGATCATTGAAGAAGTGCATGAAGAAGTATGCAGTACCAATGCTAATGAACATGCAATGGCTAAACAAATAATGAGATTTGGGTATTATTGGTCAACCCTGGAAACTGATTGTATCAATTTCGCCAGAAAATGTCATAAATGCCAGATTTATGGAGATAAGCTTTACACTCCTCCTCATCCATTCCATGTAATTACTACTCCATGGTCATTCTCTATATGGGGCATAGATGTCATTGGGCAAATTTCACCCAAAGCTTCTAATGGCCATCGTTTCATATTCGTGGCAATAGACTACTTCACTAAGTGGGTAGAAGCGGCCTCCTATGCAAATGTTACTCAGTCAACAGTTTGCAAGTTCTTGAAGAGATAAATTATTTGTCGGTATGGGCTACAAGAAAGGATCATCACTAACAATGCCTTGAATTTAAACAATAAGATAATGAAGTCAGTATGTAAACAGTTCCAGATTAAACATTATAATTCCACCACTTAGCGCCCAAAGATGAATGGAGCGGTAGAGGTAGCCAATAAGAACATCAAGAGGCTCATACAGAAAATGACTGAGACTTATAGAGACTGGCATGAGAAGTTACCATTCGCTCTGTTTGCCTATCGAACTTCAGTGAGGACGTCCACTGGGGCAACTCCGTTTTCTTTAATTTATGGGATGGAGATTGTGCTACCCATCGAGGTTGAGATTCTGTCACTACGAGTTCTGTCAGATGTTAAGTTAGATGTAGCAGAATGGGTGCAAGCTAGATATGATCAGTTGAATATGATTGAGGAAAAAAGATTAAAAGCTATCTGCCACGGGCAAATGTACCAGAAATGTATAATAAGGGCACATAACAAAAAAGTTCGCCCACGAGAGTTTCAAGAAGGAGACCTGGTGCTAAGAAAGATTTTGTCAATTCAGAAAGACTTTAGAGGTAAATGAATGCCAAATTGGGAAGGACCTTATGTGGTAAAGAAGGCCTTTTCTGGAGGAGCTTTGATCCTCACCGAGATAGGTGGACCAGAGCTACCTAACCCTGTGAATGCTTACGCAGTCAAGAAGTATTTTGCCTGAAAAAAATGAAAAAACTAAAAAAATGAAAAAGAAAAGAAAAATGAAATAAAAAATGAGAAGAAATAAATAAAAAATAGTAAAAGTAAGGTTCAAGATGAAAACCCGTAAATGGTATCTTGAAATCAGAGAAGTCTCAGGTTGAAAACCCATAAAGGGCAGCTTGAGAATTGTATGAATTCAGAATTCGTGCATGGTGGAGTTTCTGAATTAGTTTTGAAGGCTTGAAATGATAGTCAAAGTTAGGGCTAGAAATCGAAAAGCTTGGGTAACCAGAAAGTAAATGAGATTCAAACACTGGCTTATGGCATCCAATATTTGGGAATTTGGCAGTACAGGTGGAACTTCACACCCTTACGAATTACCACAATCCTCAAGATCCCCGTGTCAGAAGCTACACTCGGGTTCTCTTACGGCGTGCCAGTTCAAGAGCATTCGTATTATTGATGTCTGATAACGCCTACAATATTTTCTTTTGATTATTCCAGTTAAAAGTTTGCCATGTATTCAAAAAAATCTTTATTTATAAATAAAAAGATGCTTTTAACCGCGTTGCAAGCATCATGATTAAAAATAAAAACATGTAGATTATCTTGGGAAACATGAGATCATTGTGCATTATTGTAAAATTTTTTTTTTTGGAAAATACAGATATTCCGAAGCTGAAAATGGTTTTAGCAAAAGGTTTACGCAATGTCAGGCCATAAGAAGTTAAAGCTTTGGGATACATGTGATTGCTCAACAATGTGGGATAACCCAATAGGTTTTGTCACTGATTAAATAGTGGGTCATGAGAAGCACACGGGTTTAAAGAGTAAAGAGAATCAGAATCAGACTCAACCAAAGAATGTCTAACCAGGATTGTCGATTGAGATGAACTACTGTTGATTTTTCGTGTCCAAATCCGTCTGAAGTACAAGGCCGTTAACAAAAGAAAATTATCGTTTGAAAAGAAAATACTCTCAAAATAACTACATCATTGCACACATTTTAGGCATAAACAGGATCATGACATAAAATGCATAATAATGAGTGCTTGCAGGTTCTCTTAAAAGAAATGAAAGAGATGTAAAGACCCAACATAGAAATAACCAATTCGAACTTCTATGATTGGTCGGGGCAAGACAAGCTTCTTCAAGAGAAATCTCTCCCAAAGATTATTATCCCGAGACATTCAGGTATGATGTTTTTGAATCCTTTAACATATACTAACAAAGGTTAATGTTTAATTTTCAGTTTCGACCTTGATTCAATGAATCAACTTTCTCAGATCTGATATTCCCTCAGAGGAAGCGGAACAGATCCCTCTCTTTCAAGATTTGATATTCTCTGAATGACATCAGAACAAGTCTACCTTGATTCAATGAATCAACTTTCCCAAATCTGATATTCCCTCAAAGGAAGCGAAACAGATCCCTCTCTTTCAAGATTTGATATTCCCTGAGCGACAACGAAACAAGTCTACACTGATTCAATGAATCAACTTTCCCAGATCTGATATTCCCTCATAGGAAGAGGAAAAAATCCCTCTCTTTCAAGATTTGATATTCCTGAGTGACAATGGAACAAGTCTGCCCTGATTCAATGCATCAACTTTCCTAGATCTAATATTCCCTCAGAAGCAGCGGAACAGATCCATGTCTTTCAAGATTTGATATTCCATAAGTGATAATGGAACAAGTCTACCCTGATTCAATATTCCCTGAAGAACAATAGAGTTAATCAACATCCCCAGATCTGATATTCCCTGAGTGACAGCGGAACATATCCTTTATCATATTTTAAACTATGAAGTTGACTGGACGAAAAACACACTGTCTCTTCGTCTTTGCCCTATTCTTATTGACACAAGAATGAACAAAGAGGGGCAACTGTCGACACTAACTTTTCGTCCTGTTTTTTAATACATTATTATTATTATTATTATTATTATTATTATTATTATTAATGTTACATATTATATTTTACAGGCCCAAGACCCTGTTACAAATATCAACCCAATTACAAGATGTTGGTTCAAGCCCAAGTGTGACCCGGTTCAGTGACCCGACTTACTGAATTTAGGATGTCCTGTTTTTTAATACATTATTATTATTATTATTATTATTATTATTATTATTAATGTTAATATTATATTTACAGGCCCAGACCCTGTTACAAATATCAACCCAATTACAAGATGTTGGTTCAAGCCCAAGTGTGACCCGGTTCAGTGACCCGACTTACTGAATTTAGGATTTGCTAAAATCTTAATCCTAAAGCAAATTGCCACTGTCATCCACATATGCCTCCCACTGCAGTGCCAAGCCAACATAGAGCCATCACCAAATACTTCTAGAAGCTGTAATCATCTGGACATCTCAGTAAATGTGACTGGATCAAAACCAAAGTCAGCAAAAACTTTATAAGTTTACCTAAACCTTTGAAATAAAAAGAAAATCCCGAAAATTACGGGATTAAAGATACCTGCTTCAGCACTAATTGAAGAAAAAGATGGATTTGAAACAACCATAAATAGGGGAAATTTCAACGGGAGAGGGAAACCAATGAGGAATCAAGAACAAAGAGGAAAAAAAACACTCATAAGGAGAGGAAATTTCTTATTTAAAAGAGAGAATTTTGAAAAAGGTTTCCATATTCTCTTCGACAGAAGCAATACCAAGCAGGAAACATCTAAGGTTGTCAATTTATTTTTCTATTATATTTTATTTTATGTTTTTTTTAATTTGAAATAATTTCAAGGTAAATACGTTATTGCTTCATTCCCTATTTTTATGTCTTTAAAAGACAGCAATGATATATAAGCATAAGTAATGGTAAAAAACAGTAACAAAAAACCATAAACCATTCGAAGCAAACAAATAAATATTAATAGTGATTTTTTTTCTTTTATTTCCAAGTTTCTTTTTATTTTGTAAAGAATACAGGTAATAATAAAAAGAGGGATTTGAGTTAATTTACCTGCATTGTGCAAGTTTCAGTGGAGTCTCGTTGACTCCATCACCGTTCGGGTTCAGGTTCTGTCATTAGAGAGGAAGAATTGATGTTATTCTTAGTAATTTTTTTTTCGAAACGAAAAAGAGTGAGATAAGATCGACAAATAGATCACATAGTAACATTAGCAAAACAACGAACCATATATTAGAAATAAAAAAATAAAGTAGCATAGAGAACTTACCTTTCCATCCGAGTGAGCACCATCACCATCCAAAACACAGTGAGCATCCTAAAATCATAATCAAACTAAACAAATAATAATACGTAGGAAATTTTCGCCGGAGAGGAGAGTAGAATCGAAACCTTACCTTTTCATCAACGGTCGAGGCAGTCTTCGTGTAAGCCAAATCCTCTAAAGCCGAAGGTAACCGTCAAGAACCCTTAGATCTAGAAGAGGTGAAGTTTTTCAAGGTTGTTTAGGTTTCGTTTTAAAGGTTGGAGAGTAGAGAAGCTTTGTTTGGGACCATTTTCTCTGGTACGTTATAAAAGCCGGTTATGGGGTTACTTTACCCTTTCCTTTGTATTATAAGAAAAGATAGTGAAGGAGAGAGTTGAAGAGAGGGTAAGTGGCGCAGGAGTGTTCACAAATAAATTAAGGCCAATTGTCTTTTAAAATAATATATATTTTAAACCTTAAAAAAATGCATCGTATGGTATGTTTAAGAAATAACCAATTCACGCATAGGTTATATCTTTGATGAGCCATTCGAATTTTATGTTTCATGCGTTTTGGTCCCTAAATCGAAAGTTTCCTTATTTTCAATTTTGCATCTTTATTTTATGTATTTTTTAATTAAGATCTCTAATGATGTGTTATTTAATTTTTGCTTTGTTTAGACATTAGACCCTTAGGTTTTTGCATGTTACATTTTGGTTATGGGTATGTTTGGGTTTATTATATTTTTAGTCCCCTATATTAGTCATAATTTTATTTTAGTTTTAGTAATTGAAATAGTGAAATGTTGTTTTTTCATTCCAAGTGTTATTATTTTTGTAGTTAAAATGGTAAGTTTATATTCTTTATCATTTAATACCTAGTTTAAATAGTTTACTTAGTTTTTTAACTTTGCATTTTTAAGTGTCATGTTTCCTTTTATTTATTTTAGAACATTGGTGTATTATATTAATATGGTATAATGTGTGGAAATAAATATGTATATATTGTTGGTAGTAAAATAATATTGCACATTATTTTAATCATAATATTTGTTTAATTAATTTTTACATGAATTGTTTAACACTAAGGGTAATATTCGATCATTTTAAAATTATCAAAAGAAAATTTCTAATATGTTAATATTTAATCCATTTTAAAATATATCATTAAGTATTAATATTAGAACTTAAATTTTAAATTTGAACTCTTAGGTTCCTTAATTTTCATAATTTGACATTTTAAGTTAAGAAATGCCTTAATTTACTTTTAGTTTAATTAAGACAAATAAAATTTTGTTTGATTGCATTGTTTTTACAAATCTAAGGCATTCTTCACTTATTAAGGAATTAATAATATATCTCCCGTGATCGTGCTCAGGGGGTGAATACTGGTAATTCCTTGAATAAGTCGACATCCTTTTCAAAACCACATCATGTTTTCTAAAAATGAGGCAATATTCAGTTATTAGGTACAATAGCTGATCTCCCGCATTTACGCTCGAGGGCGAATGCTATCGGTCTCGATAATCGAATACCCTTTTTAACTTTGCATCCTTAATCATTTTTAAATTAAATAAATATCGAACTCCAAATTTCTGATTTTAAATATATGGTAATTAACTGGGTACCAATTTTTGGGCGCTTGTGGGGGTGCTAATCCTTCCCCACGCGTAACCGACTCCCGAACCTGATTTCTGGATTTTCACAGACCTTCAAACTCGATATTTTGATAAAAAAATGTTTTATTCAAAGCATCCGGTTTTTATGGTGTTCCAATCTCACCTGAAATGATTGGTGGCATCTCCTCACCTTTCAACACAATTTTTAAAGAGAAACCCCTGACTCGGTATCGATCTTTTTCCCTCCGGACGAAAAACAGTTACAACAACTAGTATTCGTCGGAGTGGAAGAGTTCTCTTATGTTTTTTAGGTTTAGGGTTTTTGATTAGGATGGGTGTCCGCGTGTGTGAGTACTATGAAATATACGCAGATAATGTGCAAGTATACACAATCGTTCAAGTAATATAATGATGAGTGAGTATCGTCTCCACAAGGATTGGGAAAAATTACAAAAGTCTAACCAAAGCTAAATATTAATCTATCTATGTATAATTAGTCTTTATATATACAAATGTCACTGCAAATGAAAATGTGTATGTTGATTGATGTAGATTGATGGTCTGATGGTGTAGCAGATGGAAATACAGTGGAAATATAAGATGGTGTAATGTCGAGGCAATGAAAAATGGTAAAAACAGTAAATAAACAGTAAATAAAATGAAAAGAAGATAATCCTCACATGACAAGCTTCTAACGGAATGAATGATAAGGATTGATTTAAGGATGCTAAACTTATTTCTCAGGCATATTTAAGCTATCTAATCTTTACTTACTCGACAGGGCTTTCCTAAAATGTTCTCAAAGGAACCTAACAGAATAGGATGCCAATGCATCTGCTCTCACTCAACGAAGTTGGCCAGCCTACCCTATTGATAAAGACACCCTTTTTAGTAGATGAAATCCTATCCTAGTCTCTCCCGAGATCCAAGGGATTAGGTTATAATATCGCTAGGTCGGTTTAAAGCCCCTTGAAAATACTATAACCCAATGCTTATGAGGATCTTATCTTGCGGTTCTCTCGAATACTTACAAGTATTTTTAGCTTAGGTTTCTCCCGAATACCTAAACTTCATCTAAGAAATGGATATTTTCATGCCTCTTACAAGCCTAGATTATGAAGCATTCATAAGCAAAGCAAATAAAGAACCAAAATAAACTTAAATATACCATTAAAATAAAGTTTAAACATCCATTAAACCAAACACCACCAAATAAGTTAGTTCATGGTGGGATTCAAAATATCCAAACACAAAGTCATGCAAATATTCGTTCCAACAACCCACAAATAAATATAGAAATAGTAGCAAAAAGGGAAGTGAGAAGTAACCTTCGACACGCCACCGGAGGTCTCCTCGGCTACCACGAATCACCTTAGCTTGCTAGCTCCTCTCGGCACCTAGCTCACCACTCCTTGGAGCTTTATCAATGGAGGAAAACCCAATGAAGAAGAAAAGGAAAAGAAAAGAAAAATATGAATTTTTCTGCTCTATGCGTGTGCCTCTTCACGTGTTGTATATTGTCTCCCTTGAGGTGTAATATATAATAAAAATATCTAGGGGTAATGATGAGGTTGTTGGGTGCAAATACCCCTCATACCACTAAAATCACATGTAGTGCGTGAATCTTATCCTCCAGGTGGCAGTGGTCCCATAGCAGCTCTGGCAGGCGGTTACAGCAATCATTTCACGTGTAGAGCCAGCTGTCCTCGTACATCTGTATCTTTTTGTCATTTTCTGTGCTAGAAATACCAAGGCATTTCAATATGCTTCAGCAACGTGTGATGCCACGGCATTACTTACCATCTAGTCCTTTTTTCTTGTATTCCTTGCACACGACAGACAAACTGCACCTTTCCTTCAAGCAGCATCATTAAGAAATAAAATAGAACTACCACCACAAATACAACTATATGCAACTACATGATCCTAAAATGCCTAAAATGAGCTTTTAAACAAACAATAACTTAAGTGAAAAAGGCCTTAAAAGTAGCCTTTTAAGGAAGTTAGCACGCCCCCAAACTTAAGCTATTGCTTGTCCTTAAGCAATGGATAACAGTTACATAAGCAAAATGTCATGGCAATGTTCAATAATAAGACAGTAGGACAAAATTGGATTTCAACCCTCAGAAAAATAGGCTTCAACATGCTAGACTTATTAAGAATTCAAGTACTTTTCCCTAGGGCAAGATCCTTTTGTGGTAATGTGTGTGTGTGATTGTATCCAATCTATACTTAGCAAACTTAGACAATTTCTACTCAAGTCCCCTAGTTTTTGTCAAGGCATTTACTTATTCATTAAGCACATTTTCTTTACTTCCTTTTTTTTAAACTGCTGTTACGAAGGGAGTCAACTCATCACACCTACTCTCCCACACTCTAGGTGAAAGGGAGCATACCTTCCACCCCCGAGCTAGTTAAGTAGAGTCATCCCGTGACTACTTTCATTCACTCATATGCACATGGATGCCATTTATTAAAGAGAGTTCCAGGCAATGCCACAACAAAGAGGAGTGCCCTCTACAGCTATGCCTAAGCATTTATTCACAGTTTCATATATAAGGGAGTTGTTTTTTATTTTTCTTTTAAGCACAATACCATATTTCAATGCCAAAACTAACTAGAGTTCCTTCATAAGAATTTTCCAAATTTTCTAAGTATAGAGAACAAACAAATCGTGTAAAAGTTTTTCACAAAGCACCAAGCCCTAAAGTGAGTTCTATCATTCTCAACAGTCATCTACGTTCAGATTCTAGCCTAACAAGATCATCATCGGGTATCCTCAAAACAATCTATCTAACTATCCTACCATTTACTGATGCCATGGCATAATACTACGCTAATGGTATCATGCATATATCCTAGCAAGAACACTACCTCCCCCAAACTTAAGGGAAGCATTGTCCTCAATGCTTAAAGAGAACTAAATATAAACTAAATGCCATGCAATGAAATGCAAACTAAATGAAAATGAATGCAAGTGAGGTACCTCAATGTTGATGTGGTAGTGTTGCCTTGGAGGTGCTAGAAGCTCCTCGTCGGGTGCGCTTGCGAAGGGGTGTTGGGCTAGACTCTGAAGAAGTAGAGTAATAATGCGCAATATTCTTACGTCCAGCAGTGGTCTTGGTGCGTTGACCACTACGTGGTGCAGGAACGAGACTGGGTGTTTCTTCGACAGGGACAGTGGGCGGATATTCAGGGGTGTCAGAACGGTGTTGATAAGGAGTCGGGTCATCAATTGGAGGATCTTCTTCATCTTGTTCGGGCTCTGGAGATGCCTCGGCATTGAATGCCGGCAAAATTTCTTCTGGGAAGCCAGGGAAATTCTGTTGACCGTGGGGAATAATTTCTTAAAACATCGATTCCACCACAGTATCTCTATGCTTCACATACCCAAAGAAATTACGGATATCACCGTGTAAAGCATGCAGATGAGTCTGAGTATGCATCACAGCTTCCTCGAGAGCAAGTAACTTTGTCTCGGCGTTAGT